AAAAAAAAAAAAAAGAACACCTCTTAACTACGTGCTGAGCCTTTTCAGCTGATCATTTTTCTTTGGTGAAATAATGGATCTTAAATTTCTATTTTGTGATCATATAATCTACAGTATGCAAACATAAAAGTAAAAAATACCAATGTTATGCTTCAAAAACTGAAATCTAAAAATACAGAAATGCATAAAGAAATAAAATTCTTAATAGTGGCAGGTGCTAACCATTTAAAACATTAACTGGCCAATTAAAAAATAATCATGATTTTTAACATCTCACTGTGATTATTTTAGTATCTTCAAATCTAATTCTATAGCAAGGACTATCAGTAGTAATGTTCAAATCTAAAAGAACAGTGGGCATTCATATTTCTAAAGTACTTTTAAATCACTGAAGATTAATTAAAAGGGCACATAGGATTATCTTCAGGTTTACTTTTGCCCTTAGACTAGTTTACTATCTGTCTATCCCACCCTCTCCATTTTTCCTTATCCTCTTTCTTCTCTCAGTACAATCACACGAAAACAGGATCTTTTACAAATGGACAACTGAATTCAAGTAATAAAGTTTTGACATGTTCAATCACACACACACTACGTATATATCTCTATGTATAACAAGTATCAGAACTATGTGTATTTTGAGGGGCCTTTAAACAGTTCATGGAAAAATAGAATTAAAACATAATGGAATTTTTCCAGGAACTTTTTCCTTAGCAGCTGAGTACTAAACCATTACATGCCCTAATTGTCTCTATTACTTTTCTTTCAGTCAGTAAACAACTACACAACATACAAACACACACACACACACACACACACACACACACAGAGCACCTTTCTGTTCACTTAAATACTTTACTTCCATATAAAACCTGTTTTTATCACATTGCTTGGGAATCACCTCAGGAAAGTCAGAAAACCTCACTTTGAGTTACAGATAAGAGGAAGGTAAATTTGCTGTTCATAAAAAGTTTACAATTAAGTCATGATCTAATGATATATCTGTTGTTTTCTACATTAAAACAGCAACAATAGTCAATAAAAACATTAAATAAGCATACCATCTTCTGATTTCTGAGAGTATGAGGGAAATGAGAAAAGGTTCCCAAAATCCTGATTTTTTTTGTCATGCGAAGACTTCCTATGAAAAAGAAAAATGAATTCCACAAAGGATGGAATTTAATTATCTGGTTTCAACCCTAATAAATTATCTGTAAAATATATTTCAGAATTATTACTACAGAATACAATGTTGGTTTTCTCAATTATTTCTGCTGTCAACAACAAAGCAAACAAACATTTTCCTCTCTCATATGCACAAGTATCACACATAAGCAGGAACTAAGTGTACACATATGTACACACATCAGACAATCCAATAATTTTTTAGCACAAAAGTACAATGGCACTTAAGCAATAGTTTACAGTTATTCAATATACCTTTATACTAGATTTTATGGTTGGTAGAAATAATCATTTCAGAGTTGAGCACTGGCAAATTATTGGCAAAATCCAAAAAGAATGAGTATCACAGTAGACAATCTATTTCTGAACCTAAACTATAGGTAGGCAATATACAAGCTCTGATAAGTTTCAATTGTTATATTTTAAGTTATAATTTTAATATTTAATATAATTCGAATTTTAAGTATTTAAAAACCTTTGCAAGACAATAGATAACTTTTATATGATCTTTCTTGTCATGATCTTATAACTTCTAGCAAATGATTGGGTAGGACTATGTAAATAAGGTGTTTGTGGTCCACCATGGGGAATAGAAAACTAGTTAATACAAATAAGGTATATTGCACCTTTGTGGGTGTGATTAGGCAAATGAGTTGTATGCAACCTTAACAAAGGGATTGGTCGATTTTGGCTTCCCCCTAGGCTTAGATGAGCCATCCCAGAGGTGGAAAAATGGAGGCCTCCCTACCACCAAGAAGAAAAGTTCAGAGTGGAGCACATCCTTTGAACCTGGGCTCCCTGTGATGAGAACTTCCAAGACTCAGGACAGGGAGAGCTACAGCACTGGACACAGCAAGAGCCAGCAGAACCAGAAGACCAGTGTGAGATGAAACATTTGTTTCCTAGCACACAGAACCAGGCAGTTAGAGCAAGGGTGCTAGCCCACCAACCAAGATTGCTGAGCACTCCGGGCAGAGGCAAACTGGTAGAGTGGAATGCCTCTGGGCAATTACTTGCAGAGTTAAAAAATCTGTCTAGCATTTGCTAGAGCAGAGCAGAGCAGAGACAAGACCAAGAAAGGCCAACAGAGGCTCGGTAAAGCTAAACAAGTCCAAGAACCAGGGATCGGCCTTCCTGAGGGCATGACTAAGAAGTCCTGACTGAAGAACTTAATCCTGAGTTGTTTCTGATCCTAAATTGTAGCCTGCATCCCCTAGTAAACCTGATCATCATATTGTCTTTGAGTTCTGTGTAGCCCTTACAGTGAATTATTGAACCCAGCAGAGAAATAGAAAATGTGTGGGAGAGAGGGCTAATGTCAGAACTGGTAGAAAGGTTAGAGAGAGGAGGTGTGTCTGACCACTGATGCCTAGGATTCTGCCTTGGGCTCCTGCTGCTGTGAACCCCAACCCCCTCCAAAAGTAGGTGAGTTAGACCTAATTAGTATGCATACTCACTAAAGGTAAGAAAAACCCATCAAGGCCAAAAGTACACAGGAAACTCAAACCTCCCAACTCCAAAGATTTAGTAACTTTTCTTGAAATTGGGTATTGTCAAACTATGTTCTGTGGGCATGCTGCCTATTTATAGAAATAAAGACTTACTAGAACACAACCACAGGCTAATGTGTTTAAAATCATTTATACTACAATGGCAGAGTGGAATATCAGCAACAGATATACTACAAAGTCAAAAAATATTTACTATGTAGCCCTTTATGGAAGAAGTTTGCCAATTCCTGCTCTAAACTATGATAATAACCATGAAAGCAGCCAATAATTAACAAGATTTATTCTTTCATGAGGAGGATTTCTTAAGATCTCACTAAAAGTTGTTTGACGAGTCCACAACTACCTGCTGCACCACACTAACTGCATGACACCTGCTTCGTTACTTACTCTGGAGCGGCTTTTGATTTGCCTGGTGAAAATGTGTATTCATCTTTATCTAAGCCATCTGAAGGAACAAATTCATCTTCACCATCATTTGTTATGGGAGAAGTTTTAACTTTCAATTCCTCTAAATCATTATTGTCATCATCATCATCAGCATCATCATCCTCTTCTTCTGAGAAATCAAATGTGTACTTAGGTCTTTCAGCTAGGAGAAAGAGAGACATAAACATAAAACTCCAATTCTAGGTCTATTCATAAGCAATATTACTGATAATGCCATTTAAAATATTCACATTGTCTCTAAAGATACATTAAAAAAAGGCAGACATTTCTAGAGGCCAACAACTTCTGGCCTCAGTAATCTTCATAATGTTAACATCTATTTTATAGAGGTAAAGGGGTAATGCTGTCCTGCCTCATGTTAGGAGAACACACACCATATAGATTAAAGTATTGCCATCATACTTGGAAATATTACTTAAATTTAAATCTATTCAAATGTAGTCATATGACCACTGCACCAATACAGCCCCTACACAAATTACTACTAATATAAGAATTCCCATTCTGTAATCACAGAAGAAAATTTTTCCGCTCTTTTAAAAGTATTAATCTCCTCTTAAATAAACTTCTATCTTCTCATCAGAGCTAGTTTTACTGTAAAAGAACAGAGTAATGGTTCAAAAATTATGCATAAGCCCTCTGTATATTAGTAAAATAGTAATTTAATATGATGCATTAAAAGGTACCAATTATGGGGAAAGGCACATTGGCATAACAATTAAATTTTACTTAAAGGCCTACTATAATTATTAAATTTAAAAATCAGATACTTCATTTTTGTTGTAAGAAAAAAAAGCCTAAATACAATTCTGAAACATTTAATAAATAATTTTTTATCTAACTTACCCACTGTTACAGAGTCAATTCAGACTCATAATGACCTTATAGGGCAGAGTAGAATCGCCCCTGTGGGTTTCCTAAGCTGAGAATCTGTACAGAAGCAGAAAGCCTCATCTCTCTTTGGAGGAGGAGCTAGGAGGTTAGAATTCCTGACTTTGTAGTTAGTACTCCTCTGGATAACCCATTCCATCATGCCACAATGACTCCTTCATCTCACTTAAGTTATTCATGATTGTGGACTGGACTGTGTCCACTTCAAAAATATGTGAAGTCCTTACATTTTGTGGATGCAATTCCATTTGTGAATCGGATGTTCTTTGTTAGTGAGGTAATATCCATAGGGTATGTCTGAAGGCAACTACTTTAGCAACATAGAGATTAGGCGCTAAAGCAAGGAAGCAACGAAAAAAACAAACTCACTGCCATAAAGCCAATTTCAACCTCAAAGCAACCCAACAGGATAGAGTCAAACTGCCCCCGTGGGTTTCTAAAACTGTACACATCTTTACAGGAGTAGAAAATCTCATTTTCTCCCTCAGAGCACCTGATCGCTTCAAGCTGACTGAACTATGGAGGCCCAATTTAACCCACTACATCACCAAGGCTGAGATGGCAAACCCTATGAAAATTACTCAGGAAGTAAGGAAGAGCTGCCGAAAAGAGCTCCAGTAAAGAAAGCTTTCTCCTAAAGCAGGTGCGCCAGGGACTAAAACCTCCTGAGAGAAGAAACAGGAGCCCTGGTGTAGTGGTAATGTGCTGGGTTGCTAATTGCAAGGTCAGTAGTTCAAAACCACCAGCCACTCTGCAGGAGAAAGAAAGAGCTTTCTACTTCCTAAGGAGTTGCAGTGTCGGAAATCTACAGGGGCAGCTCTGCCCTGTCCTTATAGGGTCACTATGAGTTGACATTGACTTGAGTCAACAAATAAGTGGATGAATAACAGGAAATTGCTGTTCATTAAAGCCATAAACCTGTGCCCTTAAAGACACAGGACCGAGCAGTATTTTGTGCATAGGGTCACTATGGATTGGAATGGACTCGATCTCAACTAACAGCAACAACTTGTGGTGTTTCTGCTACAGCAGTACTAGATAACGAAGATTCACCTAAAACATCCACTATACTAAACTCTATAGGTGTATGTATGCTAGGAAAAGAAGTTCAATTGCCAAAGGTTTCTGTGCCTGACACAGAACTTTTTTTTCAATCGTTTTATTAGGGGCTCATACAACTCATCACAATCCATACATACATCACTTGTGTAAAGCACATTTGTACATTCATTGCCCTCATCATTCTCAAAACATTTGCTCTCCACTTAAGCCCCTGGCATCAGCTCCTCATTTTTCCCCTCCCTCCCCGCTCCCCCTTTCCTCATGAACCCTTGATAATTTATAAATTATTATTTTGTCATATCTTGCCTTGTCCGACATCTCCCTTCACCCACTTTCTGTTGTCTGTCCCCCAGGGAGGAGGTCACATATAGATCCTTGTAATCGGTTCCCCCTTTCTAACCCACCATACCTACACCCTCCCAGTATCACCACTCACACCACTGGTCCTGAAGGGATCATCTGCCCTGGATTCCCTGTGTTTCCTGTTCCTATCTGTACCCTTGTACATCCTCTGGTCTAGCTAGACATGGAAGGTAGAATTGGAATCATGATAGTGTGTGTGTGTGGGGGTGGTGGTGGTGATGAAGCATTTAGGAACTAGAGGAAAGTTGTATGTTTCATCGTTGCTACATCGCATCCTGATTGGCTCATCTCCTCCTGGAGACCCTTCTGTAAGGGGATATCCAGTAGCCTACAAATGGATTTTGGGTCTCCACTCCACACTGCCCCCCCTCATTCACCATGATAAGATTTTTTGTTCTGATGATGGCTGATACCTGATCCCTTATACACCTCATGATCGCAGACTGGTGTGCTTCTTCTATGTGGGCTTTGTTGCTTCTGAGCTAGATGGCCGCTTGCTTATCTTCAAGCCTTTAAGACCTCAGATGCTATAGCTTTTGATAGCCGGGCACCGTTACCTTTCTTCACATTTGCTTATGCACCAGCTTTGTCTTCAGCGGTTGTGTTGAGAAGGTGAGCATCATAGAACACCAATTTAATAGAAGATAGTATTCTTGCATTGAGGGAGTACTTTGAGTAGAGACCCAATGTCCTTCTGCTACCTTAATACTAAACCTATAAATATATGCATATAGATCTATTTCCCCATCCTCATATATAAATATATTTGCATATGTACATGCCTTTATCTAGCCCTCTATAAATGCCCTTTGCCTCTCACCTCTTTCCTCTATTTCCTTTGACTTTCCTCCTGGCCTGACACATAACTTAACATGTATGTCCCAGAGGTAAAACACCCGTAATGTTGTATGGGAATCAGGATTTAACAAACTTAGAGAAGAATCTATAAAATGAAAATTCCATTGGTTTTAGTTATCTAAGGAATGCAAGCTAAGGAATATTCAGATAGGATCAAATCATAGGCTTCACAGCAACACATGATAGCAAAATAGGACTCTGCAGCCTAACTTCTCCCGCAATTATCTAAGAACTGTGTGCTCAGAATCAAACTCTCAAAGCAGCGGAACATTTTTCACAACTCAAGTAGAAAACCAAAATCTTCTGATAGACTTGATGTACTACCAAGGTTAAGTTTACCAACAACTTTATAATAAAAAATCAATAAGAGAGCTTGTTTCACTTTAGAGAAATTTGTTTTATGCCAAACTTTGGTAGAACAAAGTTCTGAGGTTTTTGTTCTTGTTTCTTGGCCTCCTGTGAACAGAAATTTCTGAAAAGCTAATGGCTTAGAACTTCAGCTAACATGGATAATACTAACAATATCAACTTCTTTGAGTAAAACTAACTTAGTCAAATTATATTGTATACAATAAAATAAACACAAAATGTATCAATACCAGCTGCTCTCCTAAGCAAAGAATCTCTTGGAATAACCACAGGTTCCGCTTCCTCCAAGTCACTTTCTGACTTGGATTCATCATCTGACCAAGGATTTCGCTTCTTCACTTTCTTTGTGTTGGCTTTACCAGCTGACGTAGGTGTCTTTCTCACTCTGGCACCTAAAAGAGAAAATGTTGGCAATGAGCTACTTATCAGTATCTGTACAAATGTCACTGATAAGAATAAAACGGTTAATCAATCCTGCAACAACAATGATCTATGAGCTGGTATATGGATACACAAAAGGGCTGAATGGGTATACAATAAAAGTACACTATACACACATACATACTATATGAGGGGGTACCTAAAAAAACCCGGAACCTTTTTTTTTAAAGCTATGTATTTAATTTTGTTTTTACAAAATAACCTTATCACCTTTAAAGTACTCTCCATTATACTTAATAGATTTGCCACATCTGCTATTCCATTTTTGGAAACATTTTTCAAATGCATCTCTTTGGCAGGCTGACAGCACCTCCCTTGGTTTTTTTCCTTCACCTCTTCTATATCCTCAAATCACTGTCTTTTCATGTCCCTCTTCATTCGCAGAAACAAAGTCACACAGAGTGAGGTCAGGTGAGTAGGGTGTGTAGGGCAAGAGAGGTATGATGTTTTGGGCCCCAAACTGGTGCACCAAGATGGCTGCTGGAGCAGGTGCATTGTCGTGGGGGCAAAACCAGTTCCTCGTCTGCCACAAATCAGGCCTTTTTGGTTGCACACTGTGATGCAATTTTTTCTGAACCTCTACATAGAAAGCTTGATTAAGAGTCTCGACCTGGTGAACAAACTCCGAATGCACTACAAGACACCATTTTCATCCATTTGGGAAGTTGATGGACATCCAGAGTACGGTTTGTCATCAATCGACATTTCACCTTTTTGGAATGAGTAAACCACTCTTACACTTGAGCTTTTCCCATAGCGTTGTCCTGGTTCAACATTGCAACCGTTTCTGCGGCATTTTTCCCGAGCAGGAACAAAATTTCACAGCCTCATACCATTCTCTTAAATTGATCATCACAAAAAACCAAGTTCCAATAAAACTGCTTTTCCGAAAAATTTCACTGTGACCACAGACATTTTCCCCAGTTGACACCACTGGGTGCACTAACTCAGAGCAAGTTGCTTGATGGCCACTTAGCAGAAAAAAATGCATATTAAAAGCTCCACTCCACCCAGCGTAATTTGGGTTTACTTGTTTGTTTTGGGGAGCCGTACACCATCCCCTGGTTTATGTTCAACAGAAGGTATTACTATGTGTGCATTTATCTATTTATTTTTAATCAATTTATTGGGGCTCATACAATTCATCACAATACATAGATCAATTGTGTAAAG